GACGTAAACACCTGCAGGCTGCCAGCATTTCCAATCACCAGCAAAGTGAGCAACGTCTGTCCTCCTCTCGGTGGTGATGATGATTTATCAGTTAATTACAAAGTCAGAGCAAATAAACAAAACCAACAAGCGGGTGGCTGCCTGCTCTCATTTGACTCTGTGATTACAACAGTGTGAAGTGGTCATTAACAGGCTGCCAGAGCCACAACAACACAGGTAAAGGCCATCTGGGAACCCAGGGCGCAAAATGGGGCTTTATTTTTAGGACGAGTCCAGAAAAACTTGTTTTTTTTACGGATTGTTACTATTTTAATAATGAATTTGTGCTTTAAGAGTCATATCAACAGAAGTAAAGCTTGTAGATTGTGATCTCCACTTTAATCAGGCAAATAAAGGATATCAGAGTCTGTTTAATACAAATGAAAGAGCAAATTAAGTCTGCTGATTTTCTAGTTCAGATCATTGACTATCTATTTAAACACTTAATCAAGAGGGCTTCAGTTTGAATCCAGTGGAGCTAATTACAGCTTCTGGACTGGTTGATTTTTCTTTCTGGTGCAACATTTTAATGGAAATTAGGAAGAAAACTTCAACCTAATGAGGACAACAAAAGCCAAAGTTAAAAAGAAGACAAAGCCAATGCTTTTCTAAACTTGTAATGGAAGCTTCCTGCACTTTTATGATGAATCTCAATGAAGCAGCAGCTCTGAACTGGAGTTTTTTTATTGCTCTCTTTGATGATTCATTTCTTTCCCCGATGCTGGTGAGAACCGTGAATGGGTAGAGTTTCCTAAAAATAGGAGCAGAATCTGCAGTGGCTGCAGGTCTGAGCTTAAAACGTGATGATTTCCTGTTTGAGCTTTAGGTATTCCGCCTCCTGAGCAGTTTGCATTGTGCTGGTGTTGTCACCCTCTGAAATAAGCCTAATAAGTGTGACTAAAGGCGTGTCACGCCGATGCCTCGCTGCTCAGATTTGGAGGCAGGATTTGGGCAATTACCGCTGTGATCATTTTTAAGCCTCACAACTTCAAGATGGCACCATTTAATCACGGGCAGAGCCCAAACGGAGCCGGACGGGCGGGCGGCCGTCAGCCTCTCACGGAAAAATTAAAACTTTTAACTTGCCCAATGCAAACCAATTAGCTCTCCCTCTCTGCCCTTCTGCTAACAGCGTTCAGATAACGGAGGAACGAGGAATGGCTTGTTTCTGCTCCCTGTCACCGCCAGATAAAAAATACAAGCATGTAGGATTTGCATACAAATTGAAACTATTTACACCCCCACATGGTCTGAGCTGAATCCTGAGCACAGCCGGCTCACAGAGACAGATTTCACGAGCAAACCCTGAAAAATCACACCAAACTTATCTGACTGAAGGAGTGAATTAATGAAATCATGAATAACGGATGTGACGGATGTCACTGAGCAGGGAAACATGAATGATGCTGCTCTTCACTCACCCACCAAACACAGAGAAACCTCCAGTTTATGATAAGTTCTGACCCAAACCTTCACTTGTCCGGTTTGACTGGGGCTCGGATGACGGATCGGCTGGTTTTAGGGGAAACAGGGGCCTGATGGATGGAGGGAACTCTGTGTTTTGTTGGTTTTGGACGGAAAAATCACATCCAGCTCGTGATTTCATGTTCGTGCCGCTGCTGTTTTTTCCACAACAGCAAACATTCATCAAGCTCATTTCCCTCCAAACAGAAATCTGTGCTCATGGAGGGAGTTTGTTAATAAATTAGAACCTCATTAAGACTGGAATGTGCATTTAAGGGCACGATGTGCATCAAACCAACCGTATTTCCCGATCTGAGCAATTTATCTGCCTTCTCAGATGGGATCAGCTGGAGAGAGCACATCTGAGTGGACTGGAGAGGGAAATTAATGGCTGCTGGATGGAAGCACTTGAAAAAATAATGAACGGTTACGGGAGGGCAGCTGTTTCTGAAAGGTCGGATTAGCTCTGTTCTTCTGCTCGTCGGGTGACCGGTCGGGTCCGGCAGCAGAAAGCAAAACCCTCAAACACCGGGGGGGAGAAGCTCCTGAGAAGCTCCTGAGGAGACCAGAGGAGCTGAAACGAGCTGCTGGTAATGAAGTGTAGAGTCTAATGCTCACAGTAAAGCTCAGACTGTTCTGTTCGTAGAGCAGAAACACTGGAGAGAAAACACATTCAAAGCAGAGCGTAGGGAGGATTGTCAAGCTATGGAGGAACTATGGAGACGGCCTGGACGAGTACAGAAAAGGAGACGTTCCTGATAGGGACCAGGTAGACTCTAGATCAGGGGTGGGCAACTCCGGGCCTCGAGAGCCACTGTCCTGCAGGTTTTAGAGGTTTCCCAGCTTCTGCACACCTGATTCAGATCAAACTGATCTCTTCTAAAGCTGCTCCAGCTCTGAACAGGACTGCTGATGTTGTGATGATGTGAATCAGGTGTGAAGCAGCACGGAAACCTCTAAAACCTGCAGGACAGTGGCCCTCAAGGACTGGATTCTGACACCCCTGATCTAGATGTACAGTCATGGCCAAAAGTATTGAGAATGACACAAATATTATATTTTCACATGATCTGCTGCCCTCTGGTTTTCATGTGTGTATGTCAGATGTTGTCATCACATACAGGTCTAAATGTACATCTGGAGGGAGACGGCCTGGTGGTGGACCTAAAAAGGAAAAGGTTTATGATATGGATAGAACCATATTCGGGCTCTACGCCTGGACGAAAACAATCTGACGTAAGGCAAAGAGTAAACCAGATATAAGGGCAGACACACCCAGAGTTAGACAGATCTTAGACAGGTCTCTGAGACCTCACCAGACTGGATTCATCAATCTGAACTTCTGACTGGGACCTGGATGACAATAAAACCCTCTTTGTTCCACCAAGTTCTGCCTCAGCAGAGTCTTTCCAGCACCTCCACCTGAGCTACTTGAAGACAATCATCCCATAATTCACCACAGAAGCCTCCCTCAGCAGACGTTATGGAGGCGGGAGGATTCTTACCACTCGAAGTCGTGGGCCCGGCAGATGCAGGACTCGGCCGACTGGACGGTGGAGAAATCCCCCCCCGGCATGCAGTGGCTCCCGGGCCGGCGCCTCTGGTAGATCTGCTTCTGCCCCATCACACACGGCTCCCCCTGCAGGCCCGGGTTAGGGTTAGGGTTAGGGTTAGGGTAAGGGTTAGACTTAGACTTAGACTTAGACTTAGACTTAGACTTCCTTTATTGTTGTTGTACAAAAAACACAAGGCGGATCTTGACAACGAAATGTCGATTAGTTGGCTACCAGTGTGACAGAGCTAAGACCTTATTCCT